GCTTGCTCTAAATGCCCAAAACCGTGGTATACTGTTTCAAAACAAGGCTGGATTATCTCCACTACTGAGCGTCAAAAAATGTCGGTAATGCCCAGCAGCTCAGTCTTTTGTGCCAAGCACGGTCTTTTGTTACAAGGCCCAGCTCTTTTGTCCTGGTTTCGGGCTCCCCGGCTTCGTGTATAAAGCCTATGTGCTCGAAAATGGGTCGCCTGGCAGCAAGTGATCAAACTTCAAGTTGTCCATTATTTTCATTAAGGGCCTTCCAAAATAAGTATTTTCCACAATATTTGTCACAGATATCAAAATACAAAGAGGCATGTAAGAACATAACAATAGTATGAACGCATAGTTTAAATATAAGACTTGCCATGAAGAAGACTGTGTCCAAATCAACTGGCTATGGCTGCGAGAAACACAATCTATGGGAAGTAGCTACAGCTACTACCAAGTGGCTTCTGTTGGGATATGTGCTATTTCCCAGCCACAGCCATAATTTGTGGTCACAGCCTAAATCTAACTAGCTGAATACCTGACTGCTTACTGATGCAGGGTTACCCATTCTGCATGAGTAAAATCTACCTGGCTGAAGGCTGGATCAATCAACTCTGAGGACAGGTGATGATTTGATTTAAACAGAATCCCAGCTACGTTTCCCTTGCATCACATGTTCCACACCTCATTGGAATTCCCATCGCTGCCGTAGACTGATCCTGCTGTCATTTTTACAGTTTCGTCCTTGACGGAAACTGACAGCTGTATGGCCCCGTTGCTCAGGGGTTGGTGACATTTGCCCTCTGACCCGCAGGTGGCACTGGGATGTCCAGGGAGCAACTGTGGTGTGGCATGGACCACACTACTCTCCTCCATTTGGTTGACCTTGTGGTCATGGATCGCCCTGTGTAGATGTCGCTGGGCCTTGATGATCACGTAAAATGACAGTGACACGCTTAGACACACCTGAGACAAAATCATAAAGGTAAGAAGGTTTCATGGAGGGGATTCAGGGAGTGTGACTCAGGGGTGAAGGTTTGACTCGATGGTCATGGGTTCAAATCCAGCTACTGGCCACAGTTCGGGGCTTTGGGGAAAGCCCTTCACCCATCCTTCCCATTTGCCTCTAACCACCCAGGAAAATAGGCTTTTTCTTGGTAGGTTTGATGCAGTTTGCATGAGAAAAAGCCAAGTGAACTCTGTTTTGATGTGTCACTCTTGTTTTGCATCCTAAAGGAAACTGACACTGTGTGTGTGGAAGTGGTGAGGGTCCCAACTGATCTACATTGTGCGGGATTCTTCTCAGGGTTATTTCAACTTACTTAAAAAGTGAGTCCAGCTACTTGCCACTCATTTTTTCCCATTTCTCGCAGTGGGTATTGCCCTTAACTGACGCAATAACACAAACATTTCATGCTCACTGCAAATTGTTTCATATCTTCAGTGTGCTCAGCTTACCTGTGCAACAACGGCTGGGCTACTGTTCCACTGTTGATTGGTGATATCTTGGACGGAGCGTAACGTAGATCCTATATAGGAGCTGAGGAGCTGGTTGGGGAATAGCCCCACAGCTGTTGCCATGACAAATGTTGACACAGACACATTGGCCATCTGTTGAGAATTACAATGACCTTTTGCATTGGCGGAAACTGATAGTCAAACGTACCAATTATTGGAATTGATTATGTACCAATTATTGAATATATGCGCATGTACAAGTATGCTTTGTAGAGCTTGCTATTCTTGCCTGTTTTGATTACCGATTGCATGCTCAGCTGATTGGAGTGCTTTGCAATTTAGAAATTTAATTTATTTAATTAATTTTTTAATTTTGTTTACATTCCTTCATAAGAACAATACGGAAAAATTCAAGAAAAAAAGGACACATTTAAGCCCCTTTTGCATTTTCACTGACTGTTGGAATGTCTCTAACAGTCTGCAATCTGCTCCGAGCGGAACAACAGACGCTGTGATTTTTGGCCAATCAGTGGTATACATGTAGTTTCAGGCATGTTTTTTATGGACTGACGGGGATACTACTGGAGGGTGAGTGGGCATGGCTTTCATTCTTGCTATTGCATGGCGTTGTTTTTGTGGCCAGTCACAAGAGATCAGTGGCCAGTCACAGAGATCTGCATCCTGAATGGGCTGCCATCTTGTCTGTCATTGTGGAACATGTTGTGTAATACCATTTTGTCACCCCTCGCCTAAAGACCCTAACATGAGTCCCCATTCTATTCTGTCAATTTTTTAGGTGCTACAGCTGGTATGCAGTGGAGTCTTACCTTCTCTGGTTTTGGAAAGAGGAAAATTCTCCTTACACTGTATGTGAATTCTTTTTATAAATTTGAGATATTGTTATCAACTTACACTGAATACACCATTCTGAAGTCCAAACGGAATTGGTGTCAGCCGCGTCAGGGCTATCACTCTGAATGAGTGCTCCCCTTCCACCACGTGTACGATAGCCTGCAGGTAGTCATTCTGCAACTTGGCGAGAAAGTATGCTGTGCAGGCCAGCCGGCAGAACATAAAAGCGCAGTAGGCACCCCCGAGGGCACAGGCTGCGACCACTAGCGTCCCCAGCACCAGCCCGTAACGGTACCCGGCGGCGATGTTCAGGAGGAGGTAGCCAGGGATGGAGGACGGCAGCGCCACTAAGACGAAGAGAATGAAGAAGGCGACCACGCCCAGGTATGGGTCGGTCCCAAGTAGCCAGGGAAGGAGGTCTTTGATCTGCTCCTGGAAGGCCCAGAGCAGCAATGTCCCACAGACCAGCACGACCAGCAGGGTGGACAGACGGGTGCAGACGCGGGTCTCCATGCAGGCCACCTGGGCCAGGGGGAACCTACAGGCGACACAGTCAGCAAGGCAGACCCTTGTGAAGAAGCTGGTGGTGCCGAAGGAGGGGGACATTGGGGTGGGAGGAAGGGAAGAGGTCAGGGTGTGTGACTTCCATCCCCAAGAGACCGTGCTACTGGACAGCAACAATGAAAAGAACACCATAAAAGATACAATTAGGCAAAGTTTGTACAAAGGCATATTATGTAGCATCAAGATCGCAATAATTTTGGCAGCGTCACAGTCACACTTCAAGACACATACCGGTACACTTGGGGGGTCGAAGGTTACATGCACCTTGACTGCAAGTGTTTAATTACATGTTTTAAGACTATTCCTAGCAACTAATCCCTTTCTACATGTACATGTTCTACAGAAGACATCAGATTATCTACTGAACCTGAAAGCCTTAGTTTGAGGTTCAGGTAAATAAAGTGGATGGGCTGGCTGATTACATGCAGCAGCAGGAAAGAATGGTGACCAAGAATCCACACAGACTTAAAAAATGAAAGTAGTCACTTCATTCCAAGTGTATCAAGTGTGAACACAACTACATGTATACCGACAATACATGCACTTCATATCTGGATCTCCTGAAGTCTTCAAAATCTACCACTGCGCTGGAAACCATGGGTGAGCCGTGGCACCTTTAACTTTCCAATGGTATCAAGCCCTCACTTCAACAGTGGGGCTGTAAAAACTTTCTCATGCAGATAACTCCTCAAAACCTCTCAGTGAAATTTAAACATGTTCAAGGATTTGGGAGGTAAGGCTACGACCGACGCAATGACACAGAACTTGACACCACAATTACTACACATGGTACCTGGTTGCACTGTTCCACGTACATTTTTGTAAAATGACTGATAGCCGACGTTATTACAGCTGTGATACCTGTGCACGTATATTGCAATGCAAAAAGAGTGTGGTTGCGACAAACAGTCACAGAAGAGATTACATGTAGCCAGACAATCTTCATCAGCTGGACAACTATCAAATCAGGCCTATGCTGACATCCCGACTTGTTTCCACTCAAAAGCTACATACTCACGCCAGCAACAAGACAAATCGCACCGGTGATGAGAGACACACTCAGTAACTTCACAAACAAGCTACGAGGAAAATGGTCGTTCCACGACAAGGGTGCACATGCTGCACAGAGGATACGAAACTACAAAGTGTGTCATGGGGAGGCCACTCTGTTTGTCCCAGTCATCTATATGACATTGTACAGTACATGTTCATGTGTGTATGGGCACAATGGACATCTCCTATCAGCTGATAATCAGATAAAAGGGGAGTTATAGCTCTGATTTGGCTATCAATTATGTAATCAGATTTAAAGAGAAGATTCAAGCTGGGGCAGGCAGTTTTTAAATCAACAAAAAATCTGATTAAATTACAAGGAATCCTTGTATTTTTTTAACCCTAACCGACAAGCATATTGTTTGGCTTACACTACACAGTACTCCAAAATACTAAGTAATAGTCTGAGCCTGAAGGACCTAGCGCTACAGATTACTACTTCTGGCTAGGTTACTTCCATTGTTACTTGTACAGAGAACAATAAAGCCATGCATTCATAGTACCACAGCACTGTATGATACATTGTCTTTTCTATTTTATCTAATGGCTTCAGAGAACAATAAGGTCATGTCCTCTTACAAGCGACAGGACTGAATACTACATTTTACTACAACTAGCAATTCGTAGTACTGTGTTGGGTTAGGGTTAAACAAAACACAAAACACACAAAACAAACAACAGACAAACAACCTCTCCGAAATCACCAGCCCTGGACCACATCAGGCAGGAGCACATTAACACGTGTGCATATGTATCGTAGCTTCAAAATGAGCTTCATTTTTATAATCGTGGTGTAATCTACAGGGGCACATGGTCCTCTATCGATTGATGCAAGTTTCATATCCATATTTGCTTTAGTTTCGGAAATATCTGTAAAAGAAAGTGCGAGTTCATTTGCAACTGCTTGACTATTTTTGCGTAAATCTGACTCTCTCTCCACTATACGGGTTCTGTTCCCGCTCAAAGAAGGCTCCATATATTGGATCTTAAAGGATCTAAAAATGATGCAGATCTGCAGTCACAGTGTCATCTGAAGGGGCACTTGGTCCTCTATCGATTCATGTAAGTTTCATATCCATATCTTCAAAAGAAAGCCCTAGTTTGTGGGCAACTGCTTGAAATTTTTGCGTAAATCTGACTCTCTCTCCACTATACGGGTTCTGTTCCCGCTGAAAGAAGGCTCCATATATTCGATCTTAAAGGATCTAGAAATGATCCAGATCTGATCATCGTGGTGTCATCTGAAAGGGCACATGGTCCTCTGTCAAATGATGTAAGTTTCATGTCCATATTTGCTTTAGTTTGACTGGCAAAAAATTGAAGTTTCATTTCTGAAATTGAATGTTTGGAGGTGAAAATCAATGAAGTAAAAAACAAAATTTAATTATTTGGTTAAAAATTCACAAAGCACAAATCAAGGTCTCTAGAAGTAACCTTAAAGGCAACTGAATGCATATGCTCAACAATAAATGTACGGTGAAAATTACTTTTTGTTTATTTGGTTTTGGGCATCTGGTACCACCACATACATTTGAGTATCAGTTCCAATGGAGGGTCAAACATTCATTTTTCGAATTAACACAGCCTTATTTATGTAAATTATTAATTCGTGCAAACAATGCACATCACAAACAAGATTGCCATAAGAGGGACAACAGCCATATTAATCACTGTGGCCAGGGACCAGCTGCACATTACCTGACAGGTTGCCACAGGCTCAGCCAGCTTCCAGTGTTAATCGGGAGTTTTGTCATTGTGACACTCCGGGCTCTTCCGGAACCAAATGGGGTAGTCCCGCTCTGTAGAAAGTCACAAGTTTCTCGGTTGATTCCACAATATTTTTGGACTCATACTGGGATTTCCAAAGCTGAGGTGAAGGCGGCAATAGCTGGCAGAACAAAAATGAAAACAGAACTCAAAAGTTAACAATCATGAAAACAACACACAGCTGTGGAAGACTAGTTTTTTAAAGTTCAATATAGGAGGGAGAACACAGTACAAAGTCATTTACTTAGAAAACACTTCAGACCAGTCTCACAGGGTTTTAGCACGGGGTGCCAAGTGGCATCTGTATATGGAATACTTTTGTATTTTTGACTGTATACATGTAGTTGCCAGATCCCTTATTTTGCCACTTACCGTCAGTGGCGTAGCCAAGGGGGGTGCCCCCACAAATTCCCGATGCCCCCACTAAAAAACACAGACGAATGGATACTGAACAAGGCTAACAAAAAGGTGCCCCCAACACTGAAAGCTGGTGTCCCCATAAGATGCTGGGGCCCCCTTTGTGTTCCCCCCACTGGCTACACCACTGCTTATAAATTATGGTGAACATAGGCATGTTACTTGATAACAGATACACTGTATATGAAAAGGCTGCGTAGTACCGTAATCACAATATTGACAAGAATATAGTATAAAATCAGTGCTCTGAAACATGTAATTGCCAAGCTTTCAGTAACTGAGTACCTTCTTCTGGGCGAGCAGATTCAGTTAGAAGGTACTCAGTTACCGAAGGTTCGGCAATTATATGTTTCAGGGAGAAAATGTTGTATTCGTGATCCTGACTCCACTTCAGCAGTTGTGTACAAAGTCTACAGGGAGTGAAGAGAATTTTCTAAATATTTCCCAACAACATCGGTAAATGTTTCTCAGTCCAGAATTCGTGTCTTTCCAGCATTTCTGTAATGACTGACTTATTGAGCTGATAGGGCCTATGACATGTATGATGAGAAAGCCATGAAAGTGGAATCAGGATGCAACATTTTTTTCCGGGACGTGGATACGGTCACGCACGTGACATGACGTGATGCCCATACCCAGGTCGGGGACTAAACCACAAACTAGCGACGATGCCAGACTATGCATACGCCGATCGTTTGTGCAACGATGACGTAATTTTGGAACTATTTTTAGATCACGGTTCGCAGATAACATCGATCTCTTTATCGACCAGAAACTTCAAAACAAATTCCTCTGATCGATCAACTTTACAGGAAACATGCTACACAAGATCTAAATGAAATTTTCCCTTCATTTGGTATCAATAAAAAATTAAAAGCGGATCAAGGAGATTTTTCGGTCAAATCTTGTACTGGAAGTGTCGAATTCGGTGGGCAGGCGAGTCCAACTCTGCCGATGAAAATGTTTACGTGAAAAAAATGAAACTTGGCCGAAGTTTACTTTATGCATGAAAATGTTGCCATTATAACTCTCCATCGATTCATTGTGGCAGATTTTATGTTTATCATGGCGATTTTCCAAAATTGTGATCGAAAAAATATTTGCCATAGACTCCAACGGTAACGGCAAAAGTGGCTGTGTTGGCTGCCGGCATTTCAGATCTCGTTATTTTCCCAAAATCACGCGGGAAAAATGCATCATTATTACAATGTACGTGACCTGATGAAAATGAAGTCATTGCCGCTTGAACGAGCGACATAAGCAGAAACTAGGGACGCCGCTAGATTGTGGTTTGGTCCCCGACCTGATACCACTAACTCTTACCGATTCAATTCTAGAACTCCTAAAACTGCTAATCAAACTGTTCGAAGTCTTTCCAAATATGTGATTCTACCTCCATGGTCCAACCTCATCAGTCACTATGCCATAGACATATTACGAAGTTAAGGGAAAACGTCCATACATCATCACTCATTCAATTAACCCTTCTCGGGCGCGGGCAGTCGGCAATCTGCCGTCGGTTGTGAGCGCCCTCTCTTGGTAAATTCTCGAAGCTGCAGCTCAGGCGCTAGGCACGCAAGCCGCAGGCGCATAATATTAAGTTTGACAAACATCGATTTTGTCCCAACACGGGCTTTGGGTCAAATTTCATTAATTTAGTGCCATGAACCGAATCACTAAAAGTATAAACATTAAAGGAATATGTGTATATAAAGTAAGAAAACAGACTGAATTTTTAAATTTTTGTTCTGACTTATCAATTTTGAAAACGACTCTAAAGTTTGGAGATGAAACCCCGTGGTAAACAAAGCCGCGATTTAGTAAATACATGCACATGAAGAAGATGCATGAGTTGTGTTTGTGAGTCCTGTCATGCCTGTTACGGTGATAGAGTGTTGGCGTAAGTAACTTAACTGTCAGCTTTTACATTTTTGAATTTTCACCTTTGCTCTGAATAGTGTGTACAGTACGCCTATGCCACTTTTTATTCAAAGAAGTATTGTGTTTCAGCATTTTACTGAAACGTTTTACATTAAAATTCGTGGCAGGACAAGACGTACACGTGTGGGTACGCTGGGTGCGCATCATCGGTGCGTTGTGCACGTGTTCACATTGAAGTCGTTTACAGAGCAAAGAACAGACACACAGACACTGGAAGTTGAACCACAGAATGGTTGAACTAAGTGGAAGTTGAAGTCGTGTTGGGTCGCGTCGCATCTGTACATGTGCTTGTTTGGAATAGAGAGCCTGCGTGGAGCATCCTCCCAGAGGACATGTTTTATTTCGATTTTATGATGACAATGAATGCACAAGAGGTTTACTCGAGCATGTCAAGCCTATCTAGCTAGTAGTAGAGGAAGAAATGTAGGCAGGGAGTATATTGCCAAGAATGCCATGATTGTTTAGCATGTAAAGAGCAACTCATCCCCAGGTCTTAGCTCTAGCTCTACTGGCTACATTCATGGAAATGTCACAATGCTCCATTTATTTTTATTATGAATGTTTTCTCATCAGCCTACAATGTACAGCAGCTACAAGACATTGGTTCTTTCTAGTCTCGTCTGAGTGGAGTGTTAGTATTCCTCTTTTTTGAATGTTGAACTGGATTGGTCATACTAACGCTCTGCAACATACATGTACAGTAAAGGGACAGCACTTCCCAAAAATTCAAAATATTGAATAAAAATACATGTTAAGTATTCAGTGCTGTGCGTGTGTCGAGCAAAATGGTCAGATTTTGACAGATTTTGGAGTCCGAAATATCAGTGAAGCCCCAACGATTTGACTTTGGCATTTGACGTTGGAATTTGTAAAAACATCCAATTGCAGCCAGATATGGGACGAGAAAAACGGAGCATGTATGTGTGTAGTCTACATGCTCGTCTACGCAATATTGACGGTGTAATTTGCGTGGAGCCTGGGAACAGGACTATGT